ATACTTCAGTATAGTTTCATGTACATGCCGGGTGAACCTGATAATATTATTATATCTTATGTGTCTTTAAGACCAAACTGCCAGGACATGTTCTGGTCAACCTCGATCTCCTCTCTGACATCTGCACCATCGACTACCCGATGCCTGACAACCCCAAGAGGGCCATCCTGTACAGGCGAAGCAGTACTGGAGGTGGAGGAGGAGAGGACGAGAACTGCAACAGGAGGAACTCTTCAGCCAGTGAGGAGGAGCTGAGGGTGAGGAAGGAGCTGGGGAGGAGGCTCAGTAACCAGGCAGTGCCTCCACTACAGATCCCCAAAGAGGAGTACCCCTCTGTGCTGGTGGTGGAGGCGACCAACACGAACGGGGTTTTACTCAGGTAAGACAGAAGTTGTGCGATTGCGTCATAACAAGGCGGAGAGCATAAATCCCTGACTGTCTCTCCTCCGCTGCAGGTACATCGGTGAGGGTTACTCCCAGGCTCAGGAGTCCATGGAAGATGAAATGAGAGAGTTTTATGGTTTGGACCAAAGCAGCCCAACACCTGTATCATCCCTATCCTCGGGTCAGCTTGTTGCAGTCAGGGCGGAGGAAGAGGAGGAGATTCTGAGGGCACAAGTCTGTGAGGTCATGACTGACAAGGTCAAGGTGAGGGGTCAAACACAGGAAATGACCTGAAGGATTAATTTGAGGAAGTATAAGTTGTCCCTCTGATCTTTTCTTTTTTGGCTCTATAGGTGTATTATGTGGATCATGGCTTCTCAGAGGTGATCAGCAAAAACAAAGTGTTTGAACTGCATGAGAGGTTCTTTAAACTGCCTTTCCAGGCAGCCAAGTGTAAACTGGCAGGTGGGTGTACTCATCATTTAATCGTAAAAACACAAGTAATTTAGAAGAAAACTGAACATTACTTAAAGAAATTTGTTGCCACTCCTGTCAAACTTTCCTTTTCCTTTCCTAGTTGGTTCGTATGCACAAAAGACTGAGATTTTATTCCCGGGATTTTAAGCAAAGTTGCCTCCACACACAGCGAATAGCTGTGGAGATTAGTCCAAAAATAACTTTTCTCTTTATACGTCATTTTGCACATAACTGTTCGAGATGTGTAAGTAGATGTCGGTAATGCAGCCAATAAACAGTCGACCAGTCAGAAATGTTCAGTGCTGCAGGGCCCAGTCAGAGTGTGAGCAGGGACGTTTAGAGGTAAATTAAGGTATCCTAAACAGATCTGATCGTTCTATGGAAAAGAGCTTCTCCAAAGGTTTCTAGTACCTAAGAATATATATTTTTTGTGTCTTTGTGTGTGCCCAGGCCTTGAGCCATTCTGTCAGGACCCGGCGGTGCTGAAGAAGTTTGAGACGATGGCGAGTGGAAAGATTCTCTTGGCCGAGATCCTGGAGAGAGGGCAGACCCCTCTGGTTGTCCTGTACGACACGTCGCAGGATGATGACATAAACATCAACGCTGCCTGCATGAAAGCTCTGCACGACAAGTCGCTAGCGAGTCCGTTACAGGTACCGAAGTGATCGTGCGTGAATACATGTGGGTATGCATGTGGTTTTGTAACGCAGCACAATTGTTTTTATGGCTCTCCTCAGGTCAACAGCGCTTATATGAATGTGGCCATCAGTAGCGTTTGTTCAGATGGGACTATCTACTGTCAGCCTCCCTCCAGAGCTCTTACCAAAATGAATGAGACACTGGAGAAAATAGAGACGTACTTTCACTCACAGGTAAATGCCTGCTTCGTGTGCTGTCTCAGAGCTTTTTTGGAACTGTGATACTTTATGCAGTATGCAGATTGATTATAATCTTGTAGCCTTGATATGTTCTATCTACTTATCGTAGTGTAAGAGAAAAGCTAAAACAGCTAACATGACTGATATCTTGTCATTTTTAATTGATATGCAAATATTACAGCTGAGCATATGCAGAAGAACAGACAGCGTGTTGTAGAAAATGCAAAAATATTATTTCATTTAAATCACATTTATTTCAAGTATATTATATAATAGTATCTATTACACACTGTAGCTGTTTATGTTGCTATTTTCAGTATAGTGTGTCTCCTTGTGGTCAACTCATGCACTGTTAAATGGCTACACTTGAACATTACTCTGCAAACAACAGTTGACAAAACAACTCAACCGAACATTGTGTAGTCGTAGTCGCGTTTGTCCAGCAGTAGGCCCAGGTGAAACAATTTATTCATTTCAGTTTTCTGCAGATCTGTTACTGGGACACCTCCAAGATTTCATGTTTGAGTAGATTACCTTCAGAAAACTTCATGCTAATTTCAGGCTCTGAGGACTTGAACGAGACTTGTTCCAAATGAGATTTTCATTTTCTCACTCACACTTCTCTTCCTGTGGCTTTACATTTTATAATTTCTTAGAGCTTGTGTAAAAATGCATTTATTGCCATTAAATAACTGGATCCCATTGGGTCATACATACATGCGTCCTGTGTACAAACTGGAAAATAATCCAACCTTTTATCTCTTCTTCTAATTCTCTTTGAATTAGTAGATCGGAGCTCATCAACGTCATCTTAAAAAGACTTTTGTGAATGTAACAATGCCATGTGTTTTCTCTCAGGCAGTGTTGTGGACAGATTAAGATTAGGTTGCTAATCTGGAGTTAAGACATGGCCAAGCCACTTAGTCTGTTAGCAGCACATTGCAGCGGATGCTTTTGTAGTTCAGCGGCCTTTAAAGCGTGTAGCGTCATTTTTACGTCAGCGTTTGGGTAAACAGAGCAGAGCTGCCAGCGTGTCGTGTTAAGACGGAAGATTTATTGGATCAGATGAGTTTAGGTCAAAAATACACAGAATGAAACATTAAACATGAGGAAACATTTTAGATCAAAGTCACATTGTAACACTGTAGTCAAATGTAACAATTGTGGGTTCTTTTTGTTTTTTTATTAAAGATTTTAATTCCATTCATTTTATTCCAGGTAACATCAGAGTTCCTGGTCTCCCGACCTTTTTGTGGGAAAAGATGTTTGTCTCGCTACAAAGGAAAATGGTCCCGTGTCGAGGTAACTGTTTCCTGCAATAAACAATGTGAATTATTAAAGAAGTTCAAGGAAGGAACAAAATGACTGTTTCACAATAGAGGACCATTTATTTCCTTTTGTTAACCTTTGATAAGCAGCCACTACCTCAGTTAATCCTCGTGTCGCAATCAACACCAAGTATAGTTGTCTGTTTATCTATAACTTTTCTCCGAGGCAGTTTAAAAACGTGACGCTTTCTTGTCTCTTTAGATCACCAACCTTCATGGCAGCAGAGTGTTGGACATCCTGTTCATTGATGTGGGCGTGCAGGCTTCTGTCGAGGTGTTTGAGCTGAGGGAGATTCCTTCCCCATTCCTCCATGACCTTATAGCTATCCCACCACAGGTCAGGGTCTATGTCTTTAATGTGCAGACAGTGAACGCCCGACCAGAGAAATAAGTAATAAGATCATATATGTCATTTATACAGTTAGGATTTATCTGTAGAAATGTGGGCATATTGTTGGATAAGCTGATGCATACAACCTGTGTTCAGGCTGTGAAGTGCTGTCTAGCAGACCTGGCTGTCAGTGTTGGATCCTGGACTCCAGATGCTGTGCAGTGGCTTCGAGACAAAGTGTTGAACACCACTGACTGTAGTATGAAGGTAAATGGCTTTGTCTCATTTATAAATGTATTTTTTGGCCTTTTGATCTGAAGAGATGGAGATGATGATAAAAAATAGACTTACAAACATTCACACTATCCTTTTTTTTTACATATAGCAATATATTTAGATTGATTTAGAAACTCAAAACAACTGTGAAAAGTATTCTAATATATTCTATTCTAAAATATTCTACTATGAAGAAACTAAACGCAGCCTTAAATGTGTTAAATGAGTTTTCTGTGCTTTTTTCTCTGTTTTTCTTCTTTGTGTCCCTCCACACTCACCAAGGTTGCCAAAGTGGATGAAAAGAAGCGCTGCATTCACGTCCACTTATTCACAGACAAGAACTTCCACGACCCGGACCGCAGCCTCAACCGTCAGATGGCCCAGTCTGAGCTGTTAAAGCAGCAACCAGACGTCTTCCTGACCAGCCACAGGTTCTCGATGATGGTTTTTCACCTGTTAACTCTGTGCCCTCCAGCTAATGTCTATTTTTTCTCCTTTCTCAGTTGTAATTCATTTAAGCTGAATTTCTATTATGACTTTCTCAGCTCTGCCAGGATTTCCACACCTACTTCATCCACCAAGACTTCCAGTGCCAGTAACTCCACCAATGGCAGCCCAACATCAGCTAATGTCCCAATCAAGCCTCACCTCAGGAGGGCTCTGTCGGGACCCAAAGGCAGTGGAGGCGGTGGAAACACCACCACCACCCCCAGCAGCCCGACAGAAACACCATCATCCCCCACATCCTCTCTCCAGCTGCCGCCACCATTAGAGCTGCCCACTATAGGTACCAAGGAAGAGTATATTGTCTAAAGAAAACACTGTTGTTATTTGTCTTTTTTTAAACACCTACCACACAGTATATACTGCATTTGAATGCTCTAATCCTCAATGTTCTTATTTCACCTTGGACTCTTGTTTTTTCAGGAAACAACATGGATGTATACGTATCTTTGGCGTGCCACCCCGGCCACTTTGTGCTACAGCCATGGGGAGACATGTACAGACTGGTAGTGCTGATGGGAGAGATGATTCTCTACTACAATAAAACAGAGGAGAAACCACTAAATGTAGAGAAGAATCAGGTTTATGCTGCTAAAGTGGAAAACAGGTGAGTTTACAACTACAAATCTCACAACGCGTGCTGTTAAGAACTTGAATTGTGAGTGCGTGTGCTTTCTCTCCATCGATTGTTTAGCTGGCATCGTGTGCTGGTGAAGGGAGTTCTGAACAGCGGCTTGGTGTCTGTTTATGAGTTGGACTATGGTAAGCACGAGCTGGTCAGCTGCACACAGCTCAGACCTCTGATCAAAGAGTTCAGGCAGCTGCCGTTTCAGGGAATCACTGCTCAGCTGGCTGGTGAGTACACGTCACATGACACTCAGTCAACTGGGCTATACAATTACATCAATCTGCAAGACCTCCGTTTGACTTATGAATTATTATTTATACCTATTTATTTATGCCTGGTTCTCATTTGTTTTGACCTGCAGGAGTGAAGCAAAGGCAGTGGTCCGAGGAGGCCTCCATTGTTTTCCGGCACCACGTGGAGAAGAAGCCTATGGTGGCCCAGCTGGAGGCAGTACAGGAAGCCACTAACCCATGGGAGAGGAAGCTGACTGTCTTCCTAGTTGACACTTCCCAGGAAGAAAAGGACACCTGGGTGCATGACATCATGGCTGAGTTTGCAGATGAGCTGACCAACGAGCTGTAAACAATAGAGGACCACTGAGAAGTCTTACTAGTCAGATCCTGTTGATCAAAGAAGGCGCAGTGTGTCGTGGATAGAAAACAATAGAAGAAGCTTATCTGTCTTTATCTATATACCTACCATCTAGTTGGATTAAAGAAAGGAAGAAAGGGGTTTCCTAAAGAGATGAACAGAGTTTGAGAAGTAAGAAGGGACACTGAGATGTTTGGCAGCATGTAGAGGAACGAAGACGACGTGAAGAAATGAAGGCACCGTAGCTGCTGTAGTGTTAAAGGCTGCACACAGAAGGATGCTGTGATGTGATTTGAGTTACTGCAGTGTGGACAGCATGCCCATTCATGATGACTAAGTACATAATTGATACAAACAGATCTACAGTACAAAAATAAACTGTTAATTAAATCATTATAACCTCGCAAAGCAGTCAGAATGGTACAGCATGCATTCAAAATATTCGGTATGGGCTTTAATCCAAAGCATCCTAAAGCACCATGACCGGTTTTAGTGTGTGTCATCCTGGGAAAGCCAGAACACCCTCAATCCTGCCAATGTGAGCACCACACAAAGTGAACCGAGCAAGTTCTCTCGCGCACGTACAGTACATGCACCTGTTTACTAAATCTGCTTTTGGGATGGTGCTTCTCATTGTCACAAAGTGTACAAAAAGTGGAGCAAACATTCCAGTGAAAGTAGGAGAAATGGATGGGAGGTCGTACGAGGGAGAGCAGGAGCTTTTATTTTGAAATTACTTCATGTGCAAAATATAAGTAACTGGTATTCAGTGGAAAGTATCAAATTAATGATGAGCATTTTTTATTTGTCTGCTGAACTTACTGGTGAAATACAACAGGATTTATTGTGGTTTGAAGACAAGTTTTAAAGTGTGGATGTGTAAAACTTCGGTGTAGGTTTGGGATTTACAGTTTTATTAAAAAATGAAGGATAAATAATGCATCAAAGCTACATTGTGACCAGCTCTAAACAAGATAAATGTGTATTTTTAGAATCTCAAAAGTCTAACATACGAGAGAAAATGCATGACAAACTCCTGATGATAACTCCTGTGACGTCAGCGCCTCGTCCATCTCTGTGCTTTTTCGGGAATTGGATTTTTCTGGCTCATGTTTCCGTTTCTTGCCTGGCATTGAGACATAAATCTCAGCAGATTACTCGTGCTGCATGTTACAGATTCCCTGAGCTACGGTTTAGGTTGACGTTATAGTAAGAACAATGATTACGATATTAATACGCAGATTACGTTTAATGTAGTGATATATTTATAGTTTTAAATGGAGGATAAATTGGGCTTATGATTGGGTTCAGTACCACCGCTAAATGTCGGCCTGATGTGGGATTTGATTCTGAAATGTGAAACTTTTCTTTCTGATGATTTGAATGTGCAATTCTAATTCTGACGATAGCCGACCTGACATTATCTTATTTATATTTAACTTATATTCTCTGGATAATAATGATCACTATCATTCCTATTTTGTTTAACAATGACCTGGAAACAATAAAACAGATGTTTTTGGAATGAAGTCTGCTGTGACGTGATGCTCGTTGTGATGTGTCATGACGTTTCAGTGACAAGCATGAGTGAGTTTGATTTCTTTATTAAAATAGCAAAACACTGCAGTCTTATTTACATGATATATCACAACAAAATGTTCATGAATCTACAAAATGATAACACTCGGCATATTCTGCACTTGATGACATGTGGGAGTCATGCAGAAGTTGATCATATGCAGCATTATTGCAAGGCTAGGCCACACTTTATGTAGTAAAAGTCTGTAGCTAGGTTACAAACACAAGTGAGCCTAACTGTGAATACAGCTGTGGAGCAAAGCAGTCTGTCCATGGTTGGTCGGTCTGTCGAACGATTAGCGAATAGAGAGCATCATCACAAACTCTGAGTAAAAGGAGAAAGAAGAGAAAACAGAAAACTGAGTCAGGTAATGGTGAATGTGGATGAAAAGTTTGAAAAATGTAAAAACACTCACACTTCTAATGAATCAGTTAATGACCCAAACATGTTGACGTCGTCTCACCTTCAAAATCAATGCTCCCATCTGCATTAATATCCAGCTCCTTTAAGATCTCCTCTAGTTCTCCTTTCTTCAGCTTCTCCCCCAGCAGGGTCTTCATCGCTTCCTTCAATTCATCCTGGTTGATTATTCCATCTCCGTCGACATCAAACTGAAAAACAAAGTATTTAAAATGACGTGCGTATCCAAGGATACTGTGTGCGCACATTTATTTGGGATTTCTGTCCATTCGCTCTAATTCGATAACTGCGGTAATTGAGTCATCGTTAGCTGACAGACCTGCACGAAGGCCGACTGGAGCTCCTTTAGTCCCAGCATGTCCGCCGTCTCGCCCATCATCCTCGGTCCCATCAGTTCAGTGAAGTCTTCAAAGTCCATTAACCCGCCCACTGTGAAGAAGAAAGGGGCTCTTACCAAGGCCAAAACATGGCCAAATATGGAGTTGTTGTTTTTTTACTTCACTGTTTAATAAAGATTAGAAATCGACTGATCGATTTCATTAAACATGTTCTCAGTGGACTCACTTCTCATCTTTATCTGTTGCACTATTTCCAGCAGCTCCATTTCAGTGGGCATGTATCCCATAGTCCTCATGCACTCAGCCACGTCCTTGTAGTTCAAGTAGCCATCTTGGTCGTAGTCAAACTCCTTAAAGGCCTCGTGCAGCTCTGTGAGAAATGTCATAGGGGTTGCAAAGAGAACATGAACGTTACTGATAACATTTAGCACCCAAATTCACACAATTTAAGGAAAACTGTTGGAAAATAGTTACAGTATGTAATGAAAAGGTGTAGTCTGGGAACATTTCTCCCCACTTTTGAACATACAGCTGAGACGAAAGAGGAAAACCTTTTCATGTAGTCGTGCTTTCCAAATGTTTAGACTAATTTTGTTTTCAATAGATTTATGAAGATGGAAAGAAACAAAAAGTAAATGAAATTTAAAAAAAAAAAAAAAAAAAACAAAAATATTAAAACACTAAACAAAAGCTGGGTTTAGGCAGTCATTTTAACAATAACAGTTCGTTTAAACTCTGTAATAATTCACCACTGACAACACAAAACAGGATTTTTAGGCGATCACCTCTGAGGCCCATATTGACACCTCAGTGTAATAAATGTAATGCTGATGTAGGTGTGAGTGAGACTCACCGTCTAATTCAGCCTGAGCCAGTTCTCTCTCCTGCACACACACGAATCAGACATGTCACAGCAGCAAAAACAAAGTCAAATACTCCACAATAGAATAAAATCGACACCATTTCATTTTTGTAAACGAGTGTGATGCTCATGACACCAAAGATTGCTAACTTGTGTGTAATTTTCATTTATAAACATATCAAAAAACAAAAGGTCTCGTTCTGACAGAGCTCTTCTTTTGGATCATCCTAATGAATTGTGGCGCTAAGCTTGTGCTAATGGGCGACTAACACGTCAGACACACCAGGCTTAGTGGAAAAAAGCTCCAGAAAGATCAGGAGCTCACCTGTAAGTACACCGTCTCACCTCCGCCTCGCTCCTGACATTGTAACATGTGACACCTGTGACTGTTGTCATGGCGTTTAAATGGATAATGATTTTTTTTTTAAAACAAATGTGTGTGAAGAAAAATTTGATACTGGGATATAAAATTGAGCTAAAACTGTGATTGAATATGTAAAGGTCAAAGGTCACAGCTGTACAGCACATTTGAATGGGTGAAAATACTTACTGCCCCAAAAATACTGTTGATGACGGAGACGTAGACTTTGTTCTTACTCTCAGAGACTTTCCTGGACTTCTTCGAAGACTTCTTGGGCGTTTCGGAGACTGAGCCTGATGGGGACTCCTGTCCCTTGGGAGATTTAGTGCCGCCTTCTTTTCTAAAACATGTAAAGTCACAATTCTTCCTCACATTTGACACCAGAGAACAATACCTCTGCTATAAAAATCATCTTACAAATAAACATATTTATTGCTTGAGAAATTCGAACATTTTTTCCTGCAACATGAATGAAGTTACCACGGCAACACATCAGAGTTGTGGAAATCGTGCATACTTTTAGACAAATTTATTCTACTTTGAGGAAGATACAAAAAGACGATCTCAAGTTACCCATCTGCTGAGGCTGAGTCAGCGGAGGTTGTTGAAGGGGTCCGCTCTCCTGCTTTGGACATGCTGTGGATAAACAGAGACACACATGCCACAATAAGTGCACTCTGTACTTCAATTAAACATATTAGTGAATATGCGCTGTATAAATGCAATCCATTATTATTGTTATTATATATACGTGCGTGTTTGGAAATGTGAAACTTAACAGTTTTAGGAATGCTTAAAGAAACAGTGTTTTCTATCACTGTTAGTACTTGATCTTGTTTTTTGCTACTGCACATTGCTTACCTTACCTCTGTGTCCAGTTAGTATGAGCAATAAGAGATCGTGTCCTCCTTTTAGCGGTGTTCCTCTTGTGTTGTGAATGGCTTCACTGTATACTCTGCTCTATCTGCTCTCGACCTCCCACCGTCAGAGAGGCTTAACAGGTAATCACCTGGCTGAACATGCAGCCAGCAATCAGAGAGCAAAACGTGGAGCAGCACTGTGACTGTGGCTGGTTTGACTCCAAATGTGTGCCTGAGCACAAGAAGTGAAATACTTGGGATACCTCGTTGGCCGTGGACAAATAAAGCCACAAGCTGACATGTTATAAAAATACTTGCGAAACAGGACATTTCTTTCTTTTTACAGGCTCCACGGGCTTTTACTGATATAAGCAAATATTAGACGGTCAATTAACGACAAATATTAGACAATTAATGACTTTTTTTAACGTGCGTTTGAGATAGACATTGTTCTCTAAATGTCATTAACTCAGCAGTCTGTTTATCCTGGAATGCGTCGTGTATTTTATGGAGAAAGTTTTCCTGTATGAAAACAGCCCAGCCGTCATCTTCAATGGCATCATCAGCTTTCCTCAGATGAGAGTTGAAAATATCGCTTTTGTGGCCTTAAACTCGGTGGTGTCGCGACTCTTGCCAGTCCGTGGGTAAGTCAATGATTAATAAATCATTAATAACCCCTGCTGTAACTGAACTTTTCTTTCAGGGTACTAATTAAGTTAACAAGCTGGTAAGCTTGTGCATCACCAGGTGCCAGGTAGCCGTTTATACTGTTTTCTTTACACTGTAATGTATGCGAGTATGAGATAATTTATGGCAGCTTAAACTGTGCACGTTGATAGCTTAACTTCACCAAACAACCTCTTGTTTAAACGCCAGATGACTTTTATTCAATATTTGCGTTTATGCAAAATAGCCGTGTGTTCACTGGGCTCATAGCAGCAGGCCTACTGCACATGTTCCCGCCCCTGGTCAGGGTTAGCTTGTCGGTCTGTTCGGTGGTCCACTAGATGGCGCCACAACTCACAGTACTTTTACAGCCACGCTAGCATGGCATTGCTGGAGCAGTTTATTCGTAAAATAGACGAATGTCGACGCATGTTTTGTCCCATATGGACTTGTTTTACAGTGTACTTATTTTTAGTTTTATGCCAGTTTTATTAATCTTTTGTGAGCAAAGCTGGGGAAACACCTGTTAATAGTCACCAGGTCAATTTGGCTGAACGAAACCACAGCTAAAAAGGAAAGCCTCACTTATCACGTTAGTCTTATTATTTTGGACGCTTGAAGAATATATTACATAAATGACTGCCTAGTATTTGTATAATGATTTGCAAAACTTTTAAAAATAAAACGCTCGCTGACCGGAAGTAAGCTGCGACGTCAAACCCATACATTGCGGCAAAGCATTATGGGAAAATCTCAGCCTATTTAACTTTCAAATTAACTATTACATGTCAATAAAATAGCATTAATCACTTGGTGAATGAATTAGATTTTAAATTATGATCGTGTTCCACTAAACATTGTGTTGCTGCTTATTTTCCGTAATACCGTCAGGCTGACTCGTATGTGGCTGAAACCCACCCCCCGCTCGGCTGTCTCCCACTCATACTTACCTGGCAGGGATGACACCATGATTACTAAGGTGGGTCATCCAGAGCGAGGCTTTGCCATTGCACAAAGGCAATTCTGATCTCTGTGAATTCCTCAAATGTAGGAATCTCAACTGCACAATTTATGGTAGTGGGGACTGCGTACGCGCTTTCCCCTAATAACGTGTGAAAAGAAAATTACAGTCGCACTCGGTCATACAAAAAATACAGCATTAATCGGGGTGCATACTAGTATTTCAAGTCTTTGGCGTGTAGTGCTTAAAACCCCTTGAAACTGTAACTGTATTTCTTTCAGCATAAATAACTATCTGCTTGAATAGTTTTCTTCAGATGGAGAAATAGTCCCGAAGTCTAAAAGCAAAATTTTGCCTTGCTCCTCAGCATTTCAGTCTGCCGAAAGGTCGGATGGACAGTACAGTAGTGCAATTCATCCTGATCAGTGATTGGTCAAAAGTCTGGAGTGAAAGAAGAGGCTTGTGATTGGTGAAAAATGTGC